TGCCCCCTTGTCTTCGGTGTCTCACATGGCCAATGTGTCTCATTCTTGGCATCAAAAGGCTTGATTCTGTTTTCTCTATTCCAGTACATCCAATCACCCTGACAGAGGGCAGGACGGGGCGCAGAAGCGCAGGCAGCCCCCCCAGGCTGCTCGGTGCACACGAGTTGGAGAGCGCAGCAGGGGAACGAGGAGGTGGGTGCTGTACTCAGTCCGCTGCGCTCTGCTTACACTTCTGGTGGCAAATGACCTGGTGCTAAGGTGAACTGCTGAGTGGTTGGTTACCAAGTTAACAGGCTCATTAGTCCTAGGGTCTTGTAGTGGGATGGAAGAATAAAACCAACCAATGGGCACTTTCACAGTCACAGCTACTATCATTTTCAAGAAAATAGTTACTTTAAAGCAAATTTAAAGCCATCCATTAGAGGGTCACTAAACTGTGGTTCCCAAGCCAAATCCAGCCTGTCACCTATTTTTTGTAAATTAAGTTAAATACACACACACACAGACACATATATATATATATATATATATATATCTACATACATACATATATATGTGTATATATATGTATATATATATTATTGATTTCAGAGAGGAAGGAAGAGGAAGAGAGAGAGATAGAAACATCAGCGATGAGAGAGAATCATTCATTGGCTGCCTCCTGCACACCCCCTACTGGAGATGGAGCCCGCAACCCGGGTATGTGTCCTTGACCGGAATCGAACCCAGGACCCTTCAGTCCACTGGCCAACGCTCTATCCGCTGAACCAAATCAGCCAGAGCAAAGTTAAGTTTTTTATTTCTACATCCAGTCATTTTATATACTGACAATGGCTGCCTTCATGCTACAGTGGCAGAACTAAGTAGCTGCAACAGAGACCACAGGACCCACTGTCTGGTACTCAGACAGAGATGTTTATTGACTCCTGTCCTATGTGATTAATTGATTTTTCTTTCTTCTGTGACAATAGCCCGATAAGTACATAGCTCCATGCTCAACATCATGGCTCTCCCAGGCACTGAGAGCTTCCCAGTAATGACTGGATAGAGACTGTCAATCAGACAGGATCAGTTCCTTTTGAATAACCTGAAAATTACAGAATACCATCCTTCTCTTTCTGAAATCTTTTTTTTGCGGAAGATTAAAGAGAAGGAACTTTTTCTGTCTTGGCTATTTATTCTCTAAAGTCAACAATCTCAGTCCTCCCACTGCCTGGTGATGCCAGCACCTGCGGGTGGCCCTTGGCCTGTGGTGCCCTGGAACCGAGTCTTCTGGGGCGGAAGGAAGGAGAAACACTGGGGCACGTGGACCATGGTTCCATGGCCTGTGCGCTGAATAGCAAATAGGACATCATGAGACATTAGGGCAGTGCAAATCAAAACCCCAAAGAGATACTACTCCCCCTCCTGTAGGATGGCAACATGAAAGAGGTGGAAGATCTGGTGAGGATGTGGGAAAGCCAGAGCTTCCTACACTGCTGATGGGAAAGGCAATGGGGGCAGCCCCTCGGGACACAGTGTGTCAGTTCTTCAAAACAGTAAGCACAGAGTATGACTCAGCAACTCTACTCCTGGGTTACAACCAAGAGAGTAACTATGTCCATACAAAAACTTAAATATGAATGTTCCTAACAGCATTATTCATAACGGCCAAGAAGTGGAAAAAACTCAAATGTCTATGAATTGATAAATGGATAAAAATGTGGCATATCTATACAATGGTATAGTATTTAGTAAAATGAAATGCAATTCTGATACGTGCTTGAATATGGGTGAACCTTGAAAATATGATGTTAAATCGGCTCGAGAAGAAAAAGCCATCTATTGCATGATTCCATTTATATGAGCTACCCAGAATAGCCAAGTCCAGAGAGACAGAAAGCACAGTCGTGGTTGGCGGGAACTTGAGGGGAGGCGGGGAAAAGGAGAGGAAGGAGAACCGGAGTGACAGCTGATGGGCGGGGTTTCTTCGCGGGGTGATGAAAATGTTCTGAAAGCAGATACAGAGTTGTGATGACTGTACAACTTTGTGAAAATACTAAAAACCAATGAAGTGCACACTTTAAAAGAATGAACTTTATGGTATGTGGATTAAATCTCAGTAAAGCTGTTATTAAAAATATAAAACAAATAGACTATTAGCAATAAAAAGCAATAAGCTACGATACATGCATATACATCCTGGATAAATCCTAAGCTCCTCACACCAAGGGAAAGATGAAGCACATCAGCAGTGGCTGGAAGAGACCACAGGAGGAAGAACTGGTGCACGTGGACATGACGATCTTTCTGGGGCGATAAAAATGGCTGTAAAGCCATAAATTCGCTAAAAATTATTGACTTGTACAATTGCAATCGCTGGATTTTATGGTATGTAGATTATGCCTTAAAAAAAGACACCCAAAGGCTGGAAAAACAGGAACTTCATACACTGTGGGTACATACGACCCCTTTGGGGAACTGTCTGGCCACATGTAACCAAATCTGAACACGTATGTGTACGCTGAGTGCAGCCTTTACTCCTGGGTGCATACCCTGCAGAGATGTGTCCATACGCTCATTACAAGACATGTTCAAGAATTCTCATAATCACCCATACACCCATGTCTATTGAAAAAGGTAAACAATCCAGGTACAGTCACACAAGGAAATCCAGCGATAAGAAAGAACGAACTACAACTGCATGGGACAGCATAGATGACTCTCAAAACCAGAAGAGCACAAGGAGCAAGACACAGAAAGGTCAGCCTGCATGGCTGTTTCCATGAAACTGACCCGCAGGCAAGGCTAGCTCACGGCCATGGCTGCCCTTGGGCACAGTCCGGGACCAGGAACAAGAGACGCAGGTGGTCCTGGGAAGCTGGTGGTGTGAGCTTCTGGATCTGGGTGTTTGTGACTCAAGTGCATTCATTCAGTTTGTGAGAACTCATCAAGCGGTCCACGTAGTATATGCGTGTTTTTCTGTGTGTTAACACTGATACTCTGTTTAAAAAAGATGTAGGGCCCTAGCCGGTTTGGCTCAGTGGATAGAGTGTTGGCCTGCAGACCAAACGGTCCCGGGTTCGATTCCGGTCAAGGGTGCGTACCGCGGTTGCAGGCTCCTCCCTGGCCTGGGCCCTGGTTGGAGTTCCTGCAGGAGGCAACCAATCAATGTGTTTCTCTCACATGGATATTTCTTTCTCTTTCGCTCTCCCACTCTCTCTAAAAATCAATGGGAAAATATCCTTGGGTGAGGATTTAAAAAGAAGACATAGGCCTGCACCTACATCTCTCTCTGCTTCTCGCAAGATCACAAACATCTTCACATTCACACACTTTAGGAGTCAGCAATGGGCACTGTGGTAACTGCCACAAGCCTGCAGAATGCAGAGCTGGCCCTGACATGGCAGGACGGGTCCCGGGCTCCGCAAAAACTCAGTGGAAGCCCTTTCAGCGGAGGCTCTTGCCCGCTTCGACAATTTGGTGCCAGGGGAAACCACTGTCTCCACTTCCCTGGGTATGAAGGGCCTCGCATTCCTCTTTGCACGGCTGACCAACATCGCATCCTCAGCCCGTTGTTAAGGAAAGCACTTTGCAGCTGCCACATCCTCAGCAGCTCTGAGCTCCCCGATCCGGCGCTCCCTGGTGATATAAATTCCTCACCCCCCACGCGTCCTGCACATTCACGTCTCACAAGACAGTCAGCCCCCACGAGCTATTTCCCAAGCCAGTTCCCGCGGGAGAAAGCGCTGGAGTTCAGTGGTTTTCTTTTATTTTTAGCTCGGTGAAAAAAAATGAGCCCGCGTGCAGTTTTCTATGGCGGCCCAACCGAAGGTATTTTAAGGTCTGTGTGCTTCTTAGCCCTCCATTGTTCCAGGCTGACAAATGATGCCCTTGACAAGGTGTCCGCCCCATATTACTGGAATCTCCAGCAGTTCTTCACAGAACCTGGCCAGACTAGCGCCTCCTCCCCGTCCCCAAACAAAAGCAGACTGGAGGGAGAGGGTCACACTCTTAAACAACCTCGCCTCTTCTGTTAGCTCCTTTTCAGCTATGAGCCTGGAAAATGGGCTTATTCTGACCATCAGAGGGCAGGTCAATGTGGTTATTTGCGGACAGAATCTCAGTCCCCCTGTTCCCACAAAGGCCGTGTGCCAGTAGCCAGGCCCCTTTCATTGGGGGTGGGGGCACTCTTGCCAAACTTCTCCATGTAACTCCCCCCACTGAACGCCAGTGCTGTGACAAGCTCACCCTGCATCACCCAAGTTCACAGTTTTGAAGAAGGAGAGCACTGGCTTGAGAGAGATCATAAAAACGCCTGTTAGTCCTTCCTCCCTTTCAGGTACCCGGGCTTCGATCAGCCTTATTCCGCTAAGCGTTCCCCAAGCTCTGAGCCACAATTATGAGAAATCACAGAGCTGGGAGGGCGGGCTGCCAGGGTAGAGTCGACTTTCTAGTTTCCTGGGAGAGAAACTCATGCTCATTTCACATTAAGAAAGTAGAAATGGAAAAGATTCGATGGCTGAAAATTGTCAACTTAGGTTTATCAGACACGGACATTAGACTGTGAAGTGATAGTTCCAAAGGCCAGGTGGTGCCTAGAGGGGCAGAGCTACCTGGAGTCCTTATCTGGGCTGCATGTTGTTAAGGACGCTGCAGACAGGGGCCCTGGGAGCAAGTCCAGGCCCTGAGACAAACTCCTGACCCCAACAGGAAAACAGTTAAACAGTAAGACACCCCGAAGCTTTCTTTAGACATGAACTAACTAGTGCTGATGTCGCAAGGTACAGAATCCGAGAGAATGACTAATATATTCCTCGTCAACAGGGCAGTTTTGAACTTATCTAGTTAACTAGTTATTCCCACACCTGTTTCTCCTTAGCAACCACCCGCGTCCCTTCAGCAGAAGGGCATACGCTTAACACCAAGTCCCAGTTCTTGGCTGGTTTTGAACTCCTTTTCATTTGAAGTAATTTGTGATCAGGAATCTCCCCAGGGCAAGGGCACTTATCCGAAGGTACCTTTAGAGGCTTCCGTCCCCAGTGGGTTATCGAGGAAGTCTGTCATGTCATGGTTCCAGGCGTCGCGGACGGCGGACTTGGACACCACCCTGCCGTTCAGACCCTGCTGTGGTCGGAAGTTATTTCTCAGATACTCCACTGACTTGACGTGGTCTTGCTGCTCCGTGGTGAAGATAGAATAGAAAGCCTCGAGCTGCACAGAGAACCAGCGAGGGGAGAAAAAAAGAACATCAGTTAGAAAAGCTCCGAGGTCCCAAGCGGGTGGGGGTGACAAGAACACAAATGATAGGACGTGCCCCAGGCCGCGTCTGACACACCCCGCGGGACACAGGCTTTGGCTCGTCTGGCTGAGGCTTCTGTCCCACCAACTACCCAGGAAAACCCTTCATTGGAAGGTGCAGAGAACTCTCAGTCCATGTCTCAGAGTCCCATGTTTTCCGCAGCCCTGGTCCCCGGCCACGGCCTCCAATATTATGGGAACATTGAGTTTTGGTGAAACTGGGAGGCTCTGGAGCCAGACTGCTTGGGGGGGAATTCTAGCCCCATGGCTCCACCATGACGCTGAGAAAGATGCTCAACTTCTCTGAGCCTCAAAATTTCCTCAATCAAGTGGTGATAATCACAGCAGCATCCGAGCGATAGGGTTCAAGTCAACATGAAATGAGATCATCCATGAGCAGTGCCAGGCTCCTGGCACACAGGCCTCAATAAATATCAATGATCTAATTTGTCCTGAGCTTCTCCTTCTATCCAGGGGATCCAGGGCATCCGAGTCGCTAAGTCACAAAGTTGCTAAATGCATGGCTTGCCAGTTAACTGCCCCCCCCCCCGCTGCCCCCCCCGAGGTCAGCAGCCACCAGACGGGCCAGCACAGTCAGATAGTTAAGCTTTCTGCATCTCCAGTTTCCTCATCTGTAAAACAGACATAATACTAGTATCTATCTTACCAGGTGATGGAAAAGATTAAAATCGATGTTCATCACCTAGCCCCCGGAGAGCCTCAGTGAAGATCCGCAGCTATCATTATTAGTAACATTATTAAGGGCCATTTCCCACAAGACTGCTGACCAAACTTCCATGGGAAAGCAAAGAAAAAAAACACTCCCAACTCCAGGATCCTATTTCTATGACAAAAAGCACCCCCGCTAGCCCTCAGCATTCCACTCATGGGAGCAGGTCGCAGGAAGGGCAGGGGCTGGGGGGCAGAGGTTAGTTCCCAATGGACCACAGAGCTATTCTTGTCACCAAAGAAATGGACCGTAGCCTAACATTGCCAGCCACCGAATATCTAACCCCTGGATGTGGGGGAAGGAATGGAGTGAAGAAGAGAGAAACCGAACGAACTCTTCCTGGCCCTCCTGGCCCCTTGAATGCGGGTCAGAACGCTGTCCCCAGGTGTGATGGGTAGACAATGCCTCCCTGGCACCCAGAGTGGCTGCCCTCGGCCTCGGGGCCAGGGGGTGGCTGCCACCAATGCATAAACAAACAAGAGAATTACCGCCTCGGTTTCGGATGGTCATCCTGAAGCCTGAAACTTACCCCCGTGTTTCTCAAACGGCCTCGCAGAAGCCGGCCGAGAACAGCCTGCTTCCTTCTGAAACGCCCTCTCTTCGCAGCAGAAAGTAATGAATACATAAGTGAAGTACAGAGTGATTTTAGCCAAGAATCATTCAAGTATACGGGTTCGCCTATCATCCCACCTTCCCTCCAATTCTGCAAATGTGAAGTGATAATAAACCGTGAAACCTCTCTGCTTTTTCATCAAAGTAATAGAACCAGACGGTCTCTCAACCAGCCTCCACGTAAAAGGAGCACATTATTCTCGAGTTACTCCAACTCTCTGCTATTCACACAGCGTCTCCTCTCACAACTTCCAGCATTGCCAGGCAGAATGTGCCTCCCCTCCCCCATCCTTCCTTCAGATGTTCCTCCTGTATTTATAGTGGAGGGAGAGAGGCAATCAAAGGTCAGATGGCTTACTCTGTCCAAATGTGACCCACTCGGATGCAAGATGAGGGAGGTGCTGGAAAGCAAATCCCCAGGCACGGCATACCCACGAGGGGACGACCAAAATCCGGACTGAATGCGCCCAAAAGTGAGAGAAGGTTTCAGATTTTCTTAGAGAAAATAGCTTCTTAAAATTACCTAAAGGGAAGTAAAGGCCCTCTGGAAACAGTCTAGGGCAGCCGTGGGCAAACTACGGCCCACGGGCCGGATCCGGCCCGTTTGAAATGAATAAAACTAAAAAAAAAAAAAAAAGACCATACCCTTTTATGTAATGATGTTTACTTTGAATTTATATTAGTTCACAAAAACACTCCATCCATGCTTTTGTTCCGGCCCTCCGGTCCAGTTTAAGAACCCATTGTGGCCCTCGAGTCAAAAAGTTTGCCCACCCCTGGTCTAGGGAAAGACTAACCAAAATGATTTAAGGGACGGAGAGTAAGTCCTGTGTGAAAGGTCAGAGGAAGTGGGGTAGTGCAGCCGGCAGAACCGGCGAATAAGGAGGAATTTGATTAAAGGCCCTTGTACGTGGAAGATGCTGACTAGCTCTTCTCAGTGTCCAAAGAAGGCCGAATAAGAGGAAATTGGTTTAAATTACAGCCTTGGAGATGTGAGTTGAATAGAGGAAGGAATTCCTTAACTTTCAGAGTGATTTTTAAAGAAAATAGACTGGGCGGCCATACATAGCACATTAGACCAGAGATTTTCTGGAAAAGACAGCCATCTGCCCTGAAATAGTTTAATCTCCGAGATGCCAGGACAGGATGGCCTGCGAGATGCCTCAGCAATTCGATCTGAGGTTTGTTTCTTCTCTAGAATAGTTGCTTCTTCCACAAGACAGCATTTAGTTCTCCTAAAAAGTTTATTTCTGATGCCGCCGGAAAGAATTAGTCATATAACTATGAAAACAGGCAGGTTCTGAACTTAACACAAAAATGCTTAAATTGCTTCTTACAGCTTAATGGCGTGCTACGGCTTAAAAGCTGCGCCACTTCCTTGTCATTAACTCACCTTGCCCTAAGATTTCGAAGGGAGGATGCGATGGTTCTCACAGAGTGAACCAATGACCTGAACGATATTATATTGTCAACTGGATCACACCTTCGCTCGGCAGTCGCACAAAAGAGGAAAAGGAGGACTCTTAGCAGACTCAGCCACGGTCCTTCGCTAGGTTGGCAGCGTTCAGGAAAACCCTGTCATTCCTGTACGTTGAGTGAAATAGCCAGTGGCCTCTCGTCGGTAACTGGCACCCACGCCTGCGTAGGGACTGGAAACCCGCCCTGGTCCCTGGGTTGGCGAGGGGAGCGCATATTTTCCACTTCGGCAGGGAAGCAGCGATCATCTGGGCCAGAAACCTGCTGAAACAGTGCCTCCCCCTGACCAGCAGTTTCGCTTTCTGAGGTTTCAGTCACTTGTGGTCAACTGCAGCCTGAAAATACTAAATAAAAAATCCCCAAAGTAAACATTTCTAAGTTTTAACTTGTGTATACTCTGAGTTGTGGGATGAAACCATGTGGTATCCTGCTGTCCTGCCCGGGGCACGAGTCATCCCTTTGTCCGCGTCTCCACGCTGTAGACGACATCTGCCCGTTAGTCACGTAGTAGCGTCTCAGGTATCAGGTCCCGTCAGGGCACTGCAGTGCTTGTGTTCACGCTGCCCTTACTTTACTTAATAATGGCCCCAAGCACAGGAGGAGCGATGCTGGCAACTCAGACATGCCCAAGAGAAGCCGTAGAGTGCACCCTTTATGTGAAAGGTTTGCATAGATAGAAAAAACCCCACACAGTGTATGTAGGGTTTGGTGCTATCCACGGTGTTAGGCACCCACCGGGGTCTTGGACCATACACCCCGCAGGTACGGGGCGCCTGCTGTATGTCACTACACAGATGCTCCAGGTTTTTCCTGATCCTTGTTACCCTTAGAAACATACTCACTCACTAAAGGTTAAAGTGACCACCACCTGGGCCTCCACTGCAGTTTCTGATTCCCAGGGATGCCATCTACAGAGACTGTAATGAGAGGGTGCCTACCGGGGTTGTGCAACACAGCAGCCCGAATAAGGCAGGGGCCATCGAGCAATCTATACAAAGCCGTGTTTCAAGTCTTCTAGACATGGTCAGCAGCCACCCTACGGTCCTTGTAACATGCACAGGAGATCATATTACCCAATCAGTGCTTCTCAACCACCTCCCATTCTCACGGTGGGGCCCTAAGGATCTGGCCGGTGCCTCATCTCCCACTGCAAAACGCCTACTATGCTGCCTGGGTTTGAAACCCTGTTTGTAACCCCTACTTGCTAATGTGTGACCTTGTCCAAGTACGTAGCGTTTCTGAGCTTCAGTTCTCTTACCTGGATAACGGACACAACATCACTACCTACCTCGTGGTTTTTGGCATAATTCCTGGCTCACAGTAGATACTAAATAACTATTATCATCACTACGATTACTATTATTACTGCTTTATGGGAATGTGGTCATCATGACTGTACTCTAAGCTCCCTAGTGCCATCTGCTTCTCCATCACACCCATATGTGCCATGTACTTGGTTACGCACTTTACAAACGCTATTTTGGTTCCTAACTTATTTTTAGTTTAAATAACATTAAAGTAACATTATTAATAGCATTATGACATCATTAACACTAGCATCTTATACTTAGTGAGCGTTTATTATGAGCAAGGCATTGTGCTAAGAGGGTCATGTGCTTTCTCTTCTCTACTCCTCACAGAAATCCCATAAGGTCGGGGGTACTATCGTATCATTATGACTCTCGACTGGTGAGGAAACTGGGCTTAGAGACATTAAATCACCTGCCCAAGGTCACGCAGGAACCAAGAGGTGACTCTTTTTCATGCTCTCAGCAGCTTCATGCCAAACACATTGCGGGCCCACAGCATTCCTCGCGGGGTCACACTGTGGGGGAAACTGATGTGGTGATCAGAGACCCCCCAACAATTCCCCTTAGCTAATCCCCAAGTACCACTTCTGCAAGACACCGACGGACGGCCACATAACTGCCTGCACTGGGGCGCTCTGGGAAGACCAGCCTCCGGCCAGCACAGGAGGCCGGGTGTGTGACCAGGACGGCGGCACCAGGTAAAGATGCCACCCACCTCACCAAGCCTGCGTTTTATTCACTCATTCTTTGCCGGGCACAGCTAACAAACACACCTGAGTTTATCT